GGGCGGGGGGGAGGGGGAGGGGCTGAGGGTAGTAGTGGCTGTGATGGGAGCAGTTCCATGCGGACGATGTCTGGCGTGAGTACTCGGTCGGCGCACTACTGGAGCGGCTTTGAGCGATGGCTCGGTAAGAAAGAGAGCGATACGACGGATGGCGGGGAAAAAACGGTCTCATAATGAATTGTGTTGCATTCTTGTGTGCAGATGTGGTAGATTGGCACCACCAGAAGTACGATTGGTTGGCGCACCGTCCGTGTGACAACCCCCTGCTGCACCTCTACAAGGACCAGCCCCTGCAGCCGGACGTCTACATGTCGCCAATCGGACCCTTCAGGGTGCGCACAGGGACACACAATCACAACACAATCACATCACAACACAGCACAAGACAAGACAGACACTTGTTCCTTGACCTGCTTGTTGCGTGTGTCACTCAGGTCCGTCGGCACCTGCCCAACATATTCAGCCATCTGTATGGGTCGACCTACCACAAGCACCACAACAACAACAACAGCCACAGGCATCCCCGCAGGTCCAAAAGCGGCGGGAGCGGCCCCTCCCCCAAGAGCCACCCCCACATTGTCCAACCGCACGCGCAACGGCGTCCACTCTGCCTCGCCCCACTACCACGCCCCCCCATCACCTGACCACCGGCAGAGAGACCGGGGGCGGTCTGACAAGGGCGGGGGAGGGGGCAACCGGTGAGGGAGAAACACACGCCCTCTCACGCGAGAGGGGCAAGGAAGAGTGTGTGTGTGTGTGTGTGTCAGGAGGGCTGTGCGAGGCAGCGCGAGAGACGTGAACCGTTCCTGGGGCTGACGGCTGACGAACAAGGCACGTGCAGCCACGGAGCAGGGCACGGGCAGTGGAAAGGCGAGCTTCTTTGCTATGTAGGGATTAGTTAGGTCGGCTCGGCGTGCAAGTGGCATGCATCGATGCATCTCTCAGTGCAGTGCTCCCCGTTTGCCCTGTCCATCACTCAATTGCTCACCAAACAAGACAGACAGAGAGAGAGACAGTAGGGCGTTCTCTTTTTCCAGCGTGCGTGGTTGCGAGGGCTGCTAGGCATAACATGGCATGGCTGGCTTCCTTCCCTCCCTGATTGCATCGTGTTGTTGAAGTTCCCGTAATGCGGCGCCGATCTCTCCTGATGGAGAGACTTTTGGTATTGTTGGCGCCCTGGGCTCCCTCATGGTGCATGGCTGGTTGGCTGATGGATGGATGGCTGGACAAAAGAGATTTGTTGGGGTCGGGGGGACAGTGACGCCTGCCTGTTTGGCTGAATGGAATGAATCCTCATGAGACGCGCCCGTGGTAGATGCAGCCAGGCCAGTAACCGGTGTGTTAATAGCCGTTGACTGACTCACAGACAGACAGACAGACAGTCTTTTTCTGTCGATGGTGACCGGATGGATGGACAACCTGATAGGGAGCGCAGTGACCTGCCTGCCTGGCCAAAGGAAGGGCTGCTCTGCTCCGATTTTCGTAGTAACCGACACACGGGCAGGCAGGCAGACGGCGGCTGCGCTGCACGTAGGGCCTTTTTGAACTAACTAACGAGCCACATGACAGCTAAGTGGGGGGCTGGGTGGACGGATGGATGGATGGGTGTCAGGTGCAGCACTGTATAGACAGCGAGCGCCACTCGTGTGTCCACGAGTGAGAGGCAGCGAGCGTATTTATGGCAGTCCGTCAGTCCGTCAGTCCGTCAGTCAGTCAGTCAGTCGCGTGTGTCGGCTGTGTGTCGATCAGTGGTTTGTTTACTCGCGCCAGGTGCACTGCATGGGGTGTGGTGTGTGTTGGCTGGTCTGACGATGCGATCCCTATCGACGCCGACTAGGCCGCCCGGCACATAAGCCGTGCCCTGCACACATGGCATGGATGCACTCATCGACACACGAGACAAGACACACTCACATGGAACCTGCGCGTCTGCATGGCATGGGTGTGTGGAGTGAGTGAGTGAGTGAGTGAGTGAGTGGACCAACAGACTTGGCTTTGTTGTGTTGCGTGATGAATGATGATATCATGTTCCTTCGATCAGACAGAATGAATGTTGCAGGGTTTGGAAACCGATAGGGTTTCTGGGCCGCATGCACGGGTCATCATCATCGAGCAGCAAGGGCACGGCAGGAGGCATGAGCGGCGACGTGATCCGGCTCAATGTCAGCGGGTACGTCATGGCCTTCCCGAGTGACGTGCTGCTGCGCGATGGGCTGCGGGACAGCTGCCTGGCGGTGCTGCTTCATCGGTTCGGTGACTGGATGCACAAGGATGCCGAGGGGACTCTGTTCGTCGACGCAGATCCACTCTACTTCATCTGGTGAGGGACGAGGGGAGCATGCAGTCAATGACACTCATTCACTCAATCCTTGCTTCGCTGCTGCCTGTCTGTCTGTCTGTGTGTTTGTGTGTGTGTGTGTGTGTGTTTGCCAGGTTGGCTGAGAAGCTGACCCGCTTGAAGCATGGGTGGGTCGACGAGATCCAGATCTTCGACGAGGGGCCGCACATCACCTTCTACCACGACATATTCTTCGCCACGTCGCCCATCGACATCGACGGACAGCCCGCGGCGATGTTCAAGAGCTTCATGGCCATGATGGGCGCCTTCATCAAGTCGTCCATAAAGGGCGGCAGGGGAGGGTCGGAGGTGCTGAGTGTGACTGTCGGCGACCGCACAGTGGCGACCACCGACGCCACACTGGCCGACTTCGACACACTCAACGACCGATTCACCAAGTGAGAAATAGGGAGCGAAACGATATGGAGACGATCGGGACCCTTCCCTCCAATATCACTGATGCAGGTATGGCGGTGCTCCCATCGTCGATGTGTCTGCACGCCACTTCGAACTGTGAGTCCCACACATGACCACATGGAACTAACAGCAACACATGTATGTGTGTGTGCTGTTTCTGTGTCCAGTATCGTTGACTTCGCGCGTCGCTGCCGACTCGCCCCCGATGGCGCCGCCGTCCCGCCGCCCACGTGTGCCGACCAGGATGAGCTGCTGCGTGTGAGTGACATGTACGGCGTCCTCGAGGCCATGTACCCCAATATACTCGCCAACGACGCCATGCAGACGCTCCTCGGCATGACGGGGAAGAAAGAACCGAACAGAACCTGCCTCTACAAGTGAGAAATGGCAAAGCAGGGAGGGCAGCGTGTTATGCTCTATGCGTTCGTCGGCATGTCTGTGTGGTGTGTGTGTCTGTCAGGAGTGCGCTCCACGGCTCGTTGTATGAGAGCATGATGCAGCGCGTGACGGGCCGCAGCGGTCTCCTGTTCGTCATCAAATGCGACGAGACCAACACCATTGCAGCCTTCGTCGACGCACAGCTATACCTGCCGTCCGACCCCACACCCGAGTTGCACTTTTGGTGCCCCGTGTCGCTGTTTTCGGTGTGTGGCTCGTTTAAGGAGGGCATCACCAAGATCGAGCTGCCCCAGGCCGAGCAGTGCGCGTGGGCGGCTGGCACACATGGGGCGCTGAAGGCCCTGTTTGGTTGGACGCCGTTCGGCATGCTTTCCATCGCTGGCGGCCGCTTGTGGATGGGTCGTGAACTGCGTGGCTCGACTGCTGACCTTCACAGGTGCCGACAGTGGGTGAAGAAGGAGGAGCTGCCGGCCAACAGGAAGTTTGTGGGCAAGACAATCAACAGCCAGGAAGCGAGCCTCTGTGGTGCTGAAGACTACTACTTCACAGCCGAGCGGTTGGAGGTCTTCCAGGTCAACCAGAGAGCACACAAGGGCGGGCCTGTGGGTATCATTACATCCTTCTCCCCTCTCTGTCCTGTATGGTGCTGTGCAGGTGTGGAGCGCTGTGCCGGCCGACCCCATCCTGTCTGAGGCTGACCTGCGAGCACTCGTCGACGCGACCGGCATGACAGACGCAACACCACAGCTCCTCTACAAGTGAGTGACCAAAAAGAGGGAGCTTGTTTGTGACTCTTCCGTGTGCATCTGCCTGTCAGGGCTGAGCGTGACGGCTGGGAGCACGAGACCATGCTCAAGAACGTTGGCGTCGCCACCGACCTCTTGCTGCTGCTCAAAGACCCCGGCGGCCCCATCATCGCCACCCACATCGAGGGCGGTCTCACCCCACCCCCTAACCCCACTGCAGTGGCGAAGATCTCCTGTGCCGTGTCGCTGTTTTCGGTGTCCGGTGCGTTTGAGGGCGACGGCATCACCAAGATCGAGCTGCCCAAGGGGGAGCAGTGCGTGTCGGTGGCTGGCGTGCAAGGGGCGGTCAAGAGTCCGAACGGAGAGGCGGTCGGCAAGGTGTGCATCGGTGACATGACAAACGACGCCAGCAGCCGCCTGTGGCTCGGCTTCAGCGAGCGGGGGCGGGCCGGCACCCTTCGTCGCTGTCATCAGTGGTTGCTGAAGGACTGCCTGCCAGCCGACAAGAAGCATACCGGGACCATCTACGCCCAGGACCGCAGCAGCCTGGGGTACAGCAATCGCTTCACGCTTGCCGATCTGGAGGTCTACACACTGCACACACCGCATAGCAGGCAAGTAGAGGGAGGGAGGGAGGAAGTGGGGAGCAGTGGGTGAGCGCCATCGCCACCATGCTGCTCCCGCGATCGATTTGATGGCTGTTGCAGCAGGCAGACAGGCAGGCAGGCAGGCAGGGGCTGTTTTGTGTACGTTGATGAAGTGTTGTCGCTGTTTGTGTTAGTGCATGGCATGGCGAGTGGTGCATTTGAGCGATCATGGCGTCACGATGCCGGGCATGATGGCCGGGCACAGTTTTGGATCGACTCTGCCATGCACGTACGCCTTCATTGGTTCTATGCATCCATGCGTCTGTCTGTGGTGCGTATTGGATGTTCGTCTGGATGTCAGTCGAGCGAGACAAAAGACGAAGGCTGGCCGTTGAGCTTGTGATTTGAACAAAATTGACATCACTCAATGTCCATCAGCGAATTACTTACTGGAGCAATGGCCGCATACACCGCAGCCATAGGGAGGGAGAGCGACACACTCACGCACACACAGGCGGGACCGTCACAATGCACACACACACACAGAGACGTCTCGCTCCCCTTGTGTTGACGCAAACAGACAGAATCAAAACACACACACACAAACATCATGGACACCAGCAGACAGCCCTCCAAAACACCACACACCTCACCGAACCCTGCATGCCACTCAAATGCGTGGGGCTCCGCATCTCACGTCATCCGCAGCGACCTGAAGCTCACCCTGCCATCCCGCCCCTTCTCGACCCACCCCACCGCCCCCCACACCACCGCAGCCACGTCCTTGGTGAAGCCGTTGTCAATGTCCCCCACCAGCCCCCACTTGGCGGCCTCGTCCAGGATGGCCCGCTGCACCACCTCACGCAACTCCATCTTGCGGCCACCCACACCGCCCACCACAAAGCACTGCAGCTGCGGCACACGCACCACCTGGCCGCCCACCTCGGCCGTCCCACCCACCGCCTCCCTGTTGCTGCTGGCCTGATACACTGCCGACTTGACGAAGTGCTCCGCTGTGGCACACACACGGCGGGCCATGTCGGTGTGCCGCACGCCGATGGCCTCACCGATGGCCTCCTGGGCGGCATCCATGTCGAAGAGGTATGACGCGATGCGCCAGCCGAAGATGGGGGCCTCCTGCGGGCCGACGGCCAGCCGGGGGGTCAGGAGGGCCGCGAGGGAGCGGTGGGGGGCGAGGGCGGCGGTGACGGCCGCCATGACGGCAGTAGGCACCTCGTTGAGCACCGTGGTGTACTCGGCCAGCACCAGCTGGCGGCGACGGCGGTCCCTCTCTATGGCTGTGGGGATGGTGGTGATGGTGGTGATGCTGGTGATGTCGGCCCCCGCCCGCAGCAGGCTGCGGATGATCAGCTTGAACTTGCCACTCTGGGCGCGATGCCGTTCCGTGGTGGCCTCGGGTGTGTTTGGGTGCTGCAGCTGTTGGGTGCGGCAGTAGAGCTCGTAGGCAGCGACGGAGAGGGGTGTGAATGACGTTGTGAGTGTCCGTCTGTCGATCTGGTCAGCGGGCAGCTTACGGCAGAGGTAGTCGGCCACCTTGGGGGAGCCATACGCTGCCGCGCGGTGCAGTGGCGTCCATCCAATGCCATCGGCTGCCGTCATGTCGGCCCCGTTCGCCGCTATGAGGTCGAGGTAGGCGTCGATGAAGGACTGGGGATAGTGCGCATTTGAGTTGAAGGCTGCGTGGCGCACCGGGGTGTAGCCATAGCGTTCTTCGGTGGCGAGGGTGTGGTCTCGTGCGATGAGTTGCTCATACATCGACAGCAGCAGCTGCAGATACTCGGGGGGAGGCTGACACAGGGTGAGGGGCAGCGCCATCACCGTGCGTGAGCCTGGTGGGCGCAGGTCGATGTCGTGACGAGCCGTCAGCACGTCGAAGGCCTCCTGGTTGCCGCATCGGATGGTCACTCGAAGGGACGTCTGCCCGGTCTCATCGGCTTCCGCATTGGGGTCGGCTCCTCCGTCGAGGAGTGCGGTGAAGATCTCCGCCTGCAGCCCAGCAGACGACCACCGTGGCGGGGCGACGGGACGGCAAGCATCATCGTCTCCTGCTTCGATGGTCAGGACGGTGTAGTCCGACTTGTTGTCGATGACGATGGCGAGGAGCGGGTAGGGGAACCCACGATGCTTGCTGCCCTTCTTCCTTAGTCGAGGCTTGATATTGGGGTTGGCTCCCTGCTCGATGAGATCGGTCACGTGCTGTGCGCTGGGAATGGTGCGGCCGATGACGCCCAATCCCAGCGACTTGGTAACGTCGCTGGTGCCGTAAGGGAATCGAGCCTCCAGCTCCTCGGCTCCCAAGAAGCCGTCTGGCACGTCGACTGAGGTGATTGGCACCACCGGGTGACCTGGGGCGACAAACACAGCCATCAGACGACGCACACCGACAACGAATGCATGTATGGGCCCGCACCTCCCTCTCATCTGTCTGTCTGTCTGTCTGTCTGTCTGGCGTACCTTCCTCCTCATAGCCATCGTCATGACCGTCGCTGTCTGAGTTATTGTCGTTGTCCCCCTCACTGTAATCGATCTCGTCGTCTTGGTCTTGGTCTTCGTCCAGCACCCCTCCGTCGTCACTGTCGTCCTGCATACCACCGCCCTGACACAGCGACACAGAGGCAACGGGAGAACAGCCAGGTGACGAGCGTCACATGGACGGACAGAGAGTCCATGAATTAATGCCTCACCGATTCGCTCCCATCGGCCATCCCACCGCCCTCCTCACTGTCTCCACCTGAACACAATCAACCACAGGCACACACATCGACACAAATCAAGTGCTGCGGCGTTCGGTGCTGACCGTCAGGCTCATCGCCGCTCTGGAGTTGCTGCACGGCGTCGACGTCCATCGGGGGCTCCGCGGTGCCCTGCTGCTGCTGCTCAGCTGCTGGTTGTCGTGCGGCCATGAGCGGGGCTCTGTGTGCACACAGAGAGAGGGCCTCACTGCCGCCACTTGACGACCTGACAGTGACACACACACAATGAGAAATGAGGGCCCTTCCTCCACCGACGACGCCCTTGCTCCTTGCCGCCTGCCCACGTACCTTCTCGTGTCCTCTTCGGACGCCCTGGCCCTCACCTCACACAGATACGCACAGATCTGCCGCCCTGGACCCACGAGTCACGATAAGACGGAAATTTGGGGATGCCCGTGGTGTGTTGAGGTGCCTGAACGCTCCACTGGCGGGGATCTCTGCCCATCCCCCGCGCACTTCTTAGCTCGCCCTGTAGGGTGTAGGGTTCAAACCCTAACCCGGGACTGCCCAGGCATGTTTGTGATTCTGGAGCGTTCCTTAGGAACCTTGGGTTCCTTGGGTTCCTCTGTGCGTGTGGAGCGTGCGTGGTTTGATTGTGCGTGAAACCGCTCTCTCTCTCTACGTGTGCGGAGAGAGGACAGGGAGAGCTCTCTTTTGCTGTCTGTCTTTCGCATACACCCTGTCTACCATCAGACTCAGACCGCTTGCCTGCTTGATTTGACAACCATCTGTCGGCACTTGCAGTGCTACATCTTTTCCTTGATTCATCTCGTGAGTCACTTCTCGCTGCTGGTCCAGGGGCAGCGGCAGACTGAGTTCACAGACCCGTTGTCCAGACTCGGATCAACGCGTGGCTTAGCCGCTGTTATCCGACGGTAAGTGGGGATGCGATTGACTCATCACGAGCCGCCACGTGATTCGCTGCTGCCTCTGTGTGCTCGTGACGTGACACTGTGTTGTGCAGGTCTCCTCATCGGCGGGACGGACCGATTGGTAGTTTGCGTCTGCGTACTTAATCGACACACGATAGGTGGGCAAGCACAGACACAAAGCTTCCACCAAGTGCAGTGTGTCCATCTATCGAATGGCTTTCTCTGTGTGGTGGATGCAGCTGTTAATTGGTGTGTGTTTGAGTGATGTCTGAGTCTCACGGCATCGGCATGCCCTCTGCTGCCACGGCGGACGGTGACGGTGGCGATGCAGGTACACCACAACCAATTACATCCCGCCACATTCCTTCGTGTGGTTGTCGTTGTCCGTTTCATTGTGTCTGCAGGCGACGTAGACGAGAAGGGGCATGGCGGCGGCGGACCAGCAGAGGACGACAATCGCAATGGCATCGGTGATAGTGGTGAGTGACTGACAAATCATGCCACATAGACCAGTCGACACACCAGCAGCACAGCACACTGATGTGTTCTCTGTCGGTGCGTCGCCTGTGTCTGTGGTCAGACGAGCAGCAGAAGGAGGAGGGCGGGGTGGCCGACGAGGAGCCAGGCCCTCAAGCAGCAGCAGCAGCTGAGAGCGAACCGGTGAGGCACTCATTCATGAACACACTCCCCGTCGATATGATGTCCGTCACCTTGCCCCTTTGTGGCGTCGGGATTCCATGCAGGAGGATGGTGCTGGTGCTGGCGACGACAGTGAGGAGTCAGATGAGTACAGTGACTCATCCGGCGACGACAGTGAGGTGGCGTACGAGGAGCATGGTACGCCTGACAGACAGATGTGACAATGCTATACACACACACTCGCTATGTGCCCGCCTCGTGTGGTGGCTCTGTGCACCGCAGGTCATCCTGTGGTGGCGGCCACTGGCGTGACTGTCCCTGAGGGCTGGGCGGGCCCCAGTGAAATCGAGGTCCGCTTCTCCCCCGGCACCACCGAGGCCACCAAGCAGCTGGGGCTGGGCGTCATCGGCCGCACCACCATCGACCCACGCCAAGTGACCGACCTCATCCAGCAGGAAGGAGCCGACCCAGACGTCATGCCTCGGCTGCGGAAGAAGGGCAGCAAGTGTCGTGGCTGCGCCCACTCGCTGCTTTGTCTCGCCATTGACAACCTGTTAGACCATGCGATACCGACCATCCGTGCAAATGCGGAGCGAGACTGGGTCTTCACCGGCCGTCCCGCTGTCCTACCGCGGTGGTCGTCTGCTGGGCTGCAGGCGGCCGTCATGACGGCACTCATCGACGGAGGCGCCGATATCAACGCGATAGACCCCTACACGGAAATCGAGGACAGGCCCCTTGGAGTGGCGATCGCATCCGGCAACGCGACGGCCTTCGAGCTGCTAATGGCGCAGCCCGGCATCGGCCTGCAGGGGCACAGGGTGATGTGGCTGCGCCAACCGACAAGCTCCCTTCCCCCCGAGTATGTGGATGTGCTCATGTCGATGTATGAGCGCCTCATCCGAGAGGACCCCACCCTCGCCGCCGAACGAGACAGGGGCAGCAATCTGATGCACATTGCCGCCTGGCGGGCGCGGGGGCTCTACCCCAAGTCGTTCATCGACAGCTACCTAGACCTCATCACACAGCACGGGGCCGAGATGACGGCAGTGTGCGCTGGAGGGACACCACCGCACGACGCGACAGATTGGGGCTCTCCCTACGTGGCTGACTACCTCTGCCGCAAGCTGCCTGCTGAGCACATCGACAGATGGAACGATTCCCCTCACCGGCTCGAGAGCAGCACGTCCATCGAAATAGCTGCCGAGAAGCTCGATGACAACACCCGACGGCTCCAGCTCCCCGACACCCGAGGACACCAAGGAACGGAATCGCGCCGAGAGTGACAGGTTCAAGCGGATCATCCATTCGCTGCTGCGGGCGGGCGCCGACATCAATCAGATTCTCACCCCCACAGCCACAGAGTGGCGCTGCCGTCGTCGCCAGCTGGTGCTGACCGAGTACCCCACGGTGCTCAACGAGGTGCCCGTTGCCGTCATGTCGGCCGTCAACGCCGCCCTCGCCCCCGCCGTCGGCCCGCAGGAGGCCCCCATCTTCGGCTGGCGCATCGCGTCATACGTCTTCGACATGGACGCCGCCCAGGAGGCCGTCAGTGAGGCCATCGGTGTGCGGCACACCGACATGGCCCGGCGTGTGTGTGCGGCAGCAGAGCACCTCGTCAAGTCGGCGGTGTACCAGGCCAGCAGCAACAGGGCGGTGGTGGGGGGGTGTGGGGGGGCGGCGGATGTGGGCGGCCAGGTGGTGCGTGTGCCGCAGCTGCAGTGCTTTGTGGTGGGCGGTGTGGGCGGCCGCAAGATGGAGTTGCGTGAGGTGGTGCAGCGGGCCGTCCTGGACGAGGCGGCCAAGTGGGGGCTGACGGGGGCGATCGACAACGGCTTCAGCAAGGATGCGGCTTCCGTCGAGTGGGGGGCGGTGGGGTGGGTCGAGAGGGGGCGGGACGGCAGACAGATGTTCAGGTCGCTGCAGTTGACGTGAGATGCGGACATAGACAGGTTTGGGTGGCAGGGATGTAGGCAGGTTGGGTATTTTGATGTGAGGATGGATGGATGGTTGTTGGTGCCTGACCCACTCGAGTGCTTCCCTGTCGGCCGCGGACAGATGGGCTGGGGGGTGAATGGATGGATGGATGGATGCCATTGGATGAAAGGCTGGCAGATGGAGAGCCATCACCCTCATGTGTTCACGACGCATCCACTGAAATGCCATGTAAACGAACGAACGAACCAGTGGGGTGGTGGCTCACCTGCTGCCTGCAGTGCACGTGCACAGTACAGAGACGGCGGCTGACCGGCTGGCGCACAGGGCGAGTGTTTCAACGCTAGCTGGTGTGTACGGTGTGAGTGTGTGGATTCCGTGTGCCCAATGAAACAGCGCCAACAAGAGCTTTATCAATGATGCGTGGGAAGACCTTTATCATTTAGGGGCTTACACGACATTAATGTGTTTGTGTGTCCGAACCGGCTTTGGTCGACAAGATGCATGCGAGACCGTTGCGGTCAGTCATTCACTCACTCATCGACAAAAGCGACAACGCTGACAAGAAACAGCGACCTTTACCGATTTAAACGCACTGTGTCCGCTGCATTTTAAATCGGTCACAGTCTGTGTGTGCGCTGGCAGTCACTGACTGTAAGTAATCTACCCCCACATACCTACCGTGTGTGTGGCAACAGGCATACACGTATTCACACAATCAGTCAGACCAGTCAGTCGCCCATGAATAGACAATATGAATGCACACATGATACATACCATCCATCCGTCCATCCATCCATCCGTCCATTATCACATCCATGGAACGCCTTCTCGGCCTGCCCGACATGGATGAATCACCATGAATGGCCGGCCAGGCCTCAACCGAGACGGTGGGCTGGGATCGACTGTCTGTAAGTGCCCAGATGCACACACCGCAGCTGGGCGGGTCATCCATCGATCCATCCAGATAGTGTCTGCACGTGGACCTAATCAGATGGCCGGCCATGCGGCAGCTACGGCTAGGGTGCTGTCCTGTCTTGTGTGTGGACAGACAGACAGCCTGGCCACACACACACACACGTGGGCGGTGCGGTGTGCACACACTGTGAGACCTTGCCTGTCCCCCCGTGTTGTTCTCACCGATTAAGAGCGACGAATTGCCTCCACCAGAGTTCTCCGTGTGTTGATGGTGAAGTCGTCGACCTTCGTGCCGTTTGGGAGCAGCTGTCGAATCGCCGTGATAATGGAGTCATCCGCTTCCGCTTCCAGCCACAGCACCACACGCCTCAGGCCGCGCAGCCCAGCGGTCAGTGTAGTCGAGACCCCGTCACGGTGAGCTCGGCAGCAACAGCATTCTCCAACTCATGGGGCACTGAATAAAGACACACAAGATGAACCGATGAGGATCTTCCTGCACTCACTGCATTCCTGACATACCTTCTAAGTGCATGTGCATGGTGTGAATCGACGGGAAGTCCTCCGACCCCCAGCTGTCAAAGGCGCCGCCCTGCGTGAGACTGACCGTGCCAACTTCGACAATGTCCACCTCCCTCTCCTGCCCCAGCGCCTCAAGCACGGCAATTCTATCCTCTGCACTGACAGCTGCATCAAACCAGACGATCCCCACCCTCATGGGCATCTTCATCGCGAGCAGCCTGCCCGCAGCCCCGCCAACCGCGCTGCAAATGCGCAGCGCCCCGGCCCTTGGGAACGGCTGCAGGTGGTTGATGATGGTGGGTGTGGGGGCGGGGGTGCCGGGAGGAGGGCCGAAGCCGTCGGCATTGGCGACCGTCACGCAATGTGCCTTGTCGAATGTGAGGCTCTCTGCGATCCCAACGGCCGCTTGGCTGGGGCTGTTGACGGGGTGAGTGACGTCATGCTGGCTGATGGTGTAGGTCACGCGGGTCGCCTGCCGTTCCGCCTCCTGGATGGCCGTCTTGATGAAGGGGGAGGGGCGAGGGGGGAATGCGTCAGCGTAGAAGGGGGACAGATCGAAGCTGACCGGACGTGTGACCTGCACGTTGAGCGGCACGTCCGGTGAGACGCAGCAGTTGCTGATGAAGCCGTCGACAGCCAGCAGGGCAGAGAGACTATCGTGGTCTTGGAATGGTGGAATCCGCACGTCGAACCTCGTCAACGCCTTGTGGCAGCCGCGCGATGTGAGCACATCCTAAAACCAAAGAGACAAGGACGTCATCCGTGTGTTTGCAAGCACAAATGAGGGAGGCCTCTGCTGTGTGGTCATTGCTCACCTGCAGTCGCCTTGCCCCCTCCCGGTATTGCTCTGGTGTCTCATCATCATCGTCATACTCGATCCCCCCGATGGTCTGCAGGTGTCTGAGCGGCCCCGGCCGGCCAGCGGATGGCTTGGGGAAGCTCTCGAACAACCCCGCCCACTCCTCCCATGACCGCCACCGCCCCCCCATCTCTTTCAGCGATGAGGACGAGATGATGAATCGGCCCAGCTCGTCGTCATCCCACCCCTCCTGCCCCAGATACTCAAGTGCGGGCATGTGCCAGCTTCTGTCGGCCAGCACACGGTGCTGTCGGACGGCTCCTGTGACGGTCCTGAGGGCATGGAGGGTCGGCGGGGGGGCGAATGAAGGAGGGACGGGGGGACGCTTCCGCTTCGGACTGTTGGTGGGCAGTTGGCTAATGCTGCTGGGCTGGGCCGTCTCCTTATTGCTGCTGCTGGTTGTGCTGTTGGTGCTGGTGAATTTGATGGACTCCAGACTGCCCCTCGCCATGTGCTGCTGGCCATTCTTCTTACGCGACTCGCGACGGCCGTCCGCATGGCCCTCTACGACGCATATCATCCTGTCCAGACACCACAACCGGTCGCCGTGTGGCTGCACCATCCTGAGCGCTGTCAGGTTGGGCAGCCGCTTGCCGAGCTGGAAGGCCTCCTTACGCGTCATGCTCGCCCAGAAGTGACGGTCTGCATCGGTGGAAGAGTCGATGGAGAGGTGGGTCTGCTGGCGAAGGGCGGCCATGTGGATGAGGGAGGGGCTGCTCTGTGCGGCACCGCCGGCTGCCCGCTGCCCGAAGGCCGCACCGCCAGACATGCTGCCGCCAGTCGACGACGGCGCTCTACTGAAGAGGGACGAAGCTGCCGCACCTGATCGACCCACACACACATGCAGCCAGCAGGAGATGGGCCCATCCATCCATCCATCCCTCATGTATGTGTGTGGTGCCCCCTCGTCACTCACCAGTGCAGCCAGAGATGCTGCCGCTGAAAGGGCCGAACATGGCAGCCGTCCCCGTGGCAGCCCCACCCTGGCCAGACAGACTCGCTCTGCCAGCCCCGCTAAACAGGCTCCCTGCCGACCCGACTTCCGACGCCGCCCCAGCACCAGACAGATGGCCACCTCCTCCCCCTGTGGATGTCTTGCCGAACGAGAATGGGCCGCTGGTGGGTGTGGCTGTCGACTGTGCTGTAGATGGAGCTTTGGCAGCCGCGAAGATGCTGCGCCCGAAGAGGTCCACTGGGGCTGGGGTGGTGGTGGTGGTTGCCGGGGCTGTTGTGGTCGAGGCAAGCGGACGGGTAGCACCCACGCGCTTGGCGGCTCTGGTCCGTGGTTTGGCTGCGGGTGTGTCAGCGCCCAATGTGAACAGCGGAGAGGGGCCGCCGCCAGATGACCCAGCTGAAGCAACTCTGTCCGACAGGTCTGCCTCCCCCCTTGATGTGCCGGACAGAGATAAGCCGCCAAAGAGAGATGATACCGATGGCACACCCGGCAGCACCCCGTCGGCCGTGTCCTCCTTGGATGCTGCTGTGGTCTCGCCATTGGTCGATCCGAAGGTGCCACTGGCACCCGCAAAGAGCGGACCGCCATTGGTCGACGGCAGGGCGGCAGACGATGTGATGGCCGAGAGGGGTGAGTGGGTGGTGGTGTGGCCGCCAACGGATGGAAGACGGCTGACGCGAAGATGACAGACGAAGGCAGAGGTGGGTGCACCGCTGTCTGTATTCCATTCCTTCTTGTCGTCCACCTGCTCACTTACCAGCCAGATTTGGTGCGTGTCGGTTTCTGTCTGCGGGGCTGCTTGTAGAGGAGGGTGATCTTGTTGGGGTCAGTGCTGCGAGCGGGAGGGAGAATGGTCGACAGCTCGCGAGGGGTCATGAAGCTAACCAGCGACGCCAGCAGGTCGTCGCCAAAGCGTGCGGGGGCCTGAAGCAGACACACCACCGGAGATATGAAGGACTGCTGACATCGTTTGTGTGTCGTGTGTAGCTCTCTGTGTACCTTCTTGCTAACATCCCACACCTGCAGACAGACAAGCATGCGCACCGAAGAAGGTCATTCAGCGGGGCATCCAAGGAGCTTTTTGTTGGTTGAGGTGTGCTTGCCCACCACGGGTGGCTGTGGGTTGGTGTTTATTGGCGCGCTGGTCCGATGCGGCACCACCTGTTTGAACTCCTCCCGGCCGCCGACCTCCCGCATGAAGAGCAGCGTCCCTTTGCTGGTCTCCTCGGTGCGATGGACGTCGGCTTTGACCCACACATAGCTCTCATTGGCACCCCTTCTGGTGCCCGACGTCAGCAGCACACGAGTGCCCTTCCGGTGGCGACCAGCCGACGAACACGATGCCATGACCTAACGAAACAAACAAAGCAATGAGTGAATGGATGAATCATTCGTGTGCTGTGCCTTCTCTCACCTCTGCCTGAGGAGGCGAAGCAGCAGATGAAGCTGAAGCTGCCGCTGCTGCCATGGCGTGACGCAAACACGGCTGGCGAGAAGAGCACAGAGGTGTGCACCACTCTTGTCATGCATTCTCGTCGTTGACGTGCTGCCTACCGACGAGAACCGAACCGATGGCCTCTCTCTCAGCCGAGGCTCCTATCGAGGAGGCCGACCTCGCCAGGACACTCACGAGCGAGCGCTTATCTGCTGCAACACGCGGATCTGCGCACCAACTCCTTGCACGCGCTAAACTGTCATGAGGGAGGGTTTGGGGAACGACAGGGTTCGAGCCCTTTCTTAGCTCGCCTGCGAGGTGGAGGAACCCTTCCCTCATTCTCCCCTCGGCGGGCCTCTTTTTATTCATTCTTGCGCAATTGTTCTTGTGTCCCATGGAGGATGGATGCACCGAGGACGCAGCAGGTACGCACCACCGGCGCAAACAGATCTGTTACTATTTCGAGCCAATAGCACATCGGCTGGTGTCCTGGTTGCTGTCAGGGTGGCGGTAAGGCGTTCAGCGGCCTCCGCAAAGGATTCCTGAGCGGAGGTGTCGGGTCCGAGGAGAAGCGCCACGGCCCTCACACAGGACAGATCAGATGCGGGTAGGTGGCTGCAGGCAGCAGGCTGGGCACTGCCAGGTAAGAACAGCTTCTCTCATTGGCTGCCTGCGGAATTGGGCACGCATGAGGCAGGGCGACACGCAAGACGAGGTGAGAAAAGGCAGACGGACATCTGGCAGATACATGATGCCATGTCATGTCTGGTTCGTCTCTCGCTTTCTACCCAGAGTGTCAAAGTGTTTGCGACGCAACCAGTGTGAGCAGGCATTCAACTAGCACACAACGCACACACCCATGACCCAGTTGCTCGTGTCTGCCAGCAGGACTGCAGATGACGAGTATGGCACTAGCAGTGCTGAGGAAATGCGTCGGCCCAACATCCCCTTCACGAGCAAAACACAGCCCAAGAGCGGCGGCAGGAAGGCGGCCAACGCCGGCAAGCCCCACCGGCTCGTTGATGCACTCGGGAGCGACCCCTGGACATCTGACAGCCAGCATGCGAGCCGCGCAGCCGAGAAAGAGAGCGTCCAGCAGCTGCTGATCGAGCAGGAACGACGTGAGATAGACGTCACAGCCAAAAAGAAGGGCGACAGCAACACCCACACCAAGGCGCCTGAGCCTGCAGCACAGCAGAAAGGAGCCGCCAAGCCCAAGACCGAGACCCAGCCAAAGGGTGCCGCCAAGACGACGGCTGCAGGGGGGGTTGATGGCGACACGGCATGCAAGCTTCGGCAGCTCGTTGAGGCACTCAAGGGGAATGGTGGCCCTCGGGAGATCCTTGCCATCCAGCAGGCCCGTCAGCTGCTGAAGAAGGCGGAGGAGCCCGTGAAGAAGGCAGCCAGGGAGGCCGGCATGATCCCGGCGCTGGTCAAGTGCCTGGCGGCCTTGAGTCGTCGACCCGACCAGTGCTTGGCATCGTATCGCCTTCAAGTCGAGGTGCTGACGCAGGTGGGCGACCTCGTCGGGATTGGCACCCTCGTCGGAGGGCACCAGAAGCAAGTCGTGGACGCGGGTGGCATCCCCATCCTCGTCAAGCTGGTGTCCTCAAAGGACGGAGATCTACTGCTGGCGGCGGCATGGATGCTTGGTCTGGTGACCGGCAGCCGCTCTGAGCATCGCGACACTGTGCTGAAGGAGGGCGGCCTGTCGCCATTGCTGCAACGGATGGAAGACCTTACCCCCGAGGCCGACCCCCTTGGGATGGTCCGTACTGCTGTTTTGGGCTTCGTTCGACACAACCAGCTCCCGCCCCTGCAGCTGATGGAGCCATCCCTGCCCCTGCTGGCACAGATGGTCAACGGCAGCAGCAGCGCCGCGACGCTCCATGTCGTATGCGCGATCGTCTTTGAGCTCAGCGAGGGAGGCAATGACGACATCGACGCAGTCGTTCGGATGGGGGTCTGTCCGCGCCTGGTGGAACTCATGAAGTGGACCTGTCCAGGCGACCGCTTTGAGAGGGAGTGTCATGCGCTGGCAGTCATGACTGTCAGAAACGTCGCCGGGGGTGAGCTCAAGGCGGCGGGGTACGTGCCTTCCTTGCCTGTGGTCTGTATGCGCGCGTGCTTCTGTGTGTGTGCTTGCAGGTGCGAACCGGCACAGGGATGCCGTGTTGCAATGCGGTGCGCTCGCGCCCATGCCGCAGCTGCTGACGTCAGGCGTCACGTACGCGTATCGTGTGATGGAGCCCGAAGACGCGATCAGCGAGTTTGCAATCCAGACCCTCGGCAACATCATGGCAGGTAGCCGTCGAGCATGGACTCACACAGGCAGACAGACAGACAGACAGACAGACAACAGAGGGCTTATGGCCTCACTTGTATGTCTGTTCCCGCTGTCACCAGGCAACAGTAGCCACACACAGAAGGTCATCGACGCGAATTTGATGCGGCCTCTTCTGAAAGCTCTGACCAGTGCTGGGCCAGCCGTGAAGAAAGAGACCGCGCGCGCTCTCGCCAACGCCACCGAACAGGTCAGCAGCAGCAACAGCAGACAAGGGGGCAGCGAACGGCAAGGAGTCATCCTCTGTCTCGCCTCTTGTTTCCGTGTGTGCAGGTCCGTCATTTGGGCAAGTGTGGGTTCGTCAAGTCGCTGTGCGATGTCCTGAAGACCACCGATGACGCCGACATAGTCAAGATGGTGCGTGGGGCCCTGCAGAAGAGCATGCCGCACAGCAGAGATGACATACGGGCCGCAGTCCACCAACGTGATATGCCGGATAAGGTAAACATCGAATGCACGGGATATTATCATCGTGTCGTGTAGCTGGCTCGTCGTGTTTTTATCGATTCAGGAGCGCCTCTTTCTGAAGAGCATCCCCAACAAGGCCAGCAAGGCACAGGACTTCACCAAGTCACCATCGTCGGCAGCCGAGTATGCCGAGGCTCAGCGCATCGCTGACGAGCTGATCGAGGAGGAGCGGCGGGCAAAATCGAAACAGACCAAGAAGAAGGGTGGGAAGGCCAGCAAAGGCAACAAGGTGCAGGAGCCTGCAGCAGAGGATATCGATTCTTCTGGGCGCACCACTGCCGCATCCAACAAGTGAGCAAGAGGACAAGAGGCCTGCTGATTCTCCTGTATGTGCATTTCTGCCGTCGTGCGTGTGTTGTGTGTATGCAGCCGATCCTCCTTTACCATCTACTATGAGGAACTTCCGACACCGCCCTCTTCATCCAGTGCAGACACGTGGGCGAGCGACGCGTATTCACGTGCACCCATCAAGTCATTTCCCTCTTGTCTGCCTCGGTCCGCAGGATTTCGCTTGCCCTCGCCGCTGCCAGCGAGCAGCAGGATGGTCAGGCGGGTGTGTCGGCAGCTGGCCGAGTGGAGGAGAACGACAGCAACGGCGCCACCTGGGCCAAAAGATGGCGCCGACGCAAGGACAAGAAGCGGCAGGGAGGCGAGGGGCCTCAGGATGCCGGCGAGCCATGTGATGCGACGCTGGGTGGGGGTCTGTCCATGGGCACTGAGGATGTGCGAGCCCGGGAGGAGATTGATGCGGTGCCAAGAAGGTGAGAGAACGATGGGCAGTGCACGATAAACATGTGGGTGTTTTTCTGATGCGGGAGTGAGGAGAAGGATTCTGACGATGTGCTGATGCCCATGCCGTCATCTTCGTCCAGTGCCCCTCCACCGGCCGCACAAAGGTCGGCCGACCAATGGTGCACACGCGTCATGAATTCGTGCAGCTGAATTGTATCGCCTGGATGCACACATGTGTGCAGTTTGACTGTCGGCGATGAGGATCATGAGCTGCAGCTGGCGATTGCTGCATCCCTGCACATGGCTGGCCATCCGTATGAGGCCACACGGACGAGCAGTGACAGCAACGATGAGGACGACTGGCTCAACTCGGCGTTCGCCCAAGGGGCGAAACGAAGCCTGGTTGGCCAGAAGAACAATGGCCCTACTTCCAAGGCCACCCCGACGCCCCCTTTCCACCCGACCAAGGCATTCCATCCCAAGACTACCGTGACGGGCCGCCCTGCAGCTGCACCCGTGATGGGCATCACCGGCGTAGCAGCGGCAAGAAACCGTCACCGATGCCCCATGCTCTCTTCCCGCCCATAGTCAATGCCAACAGCACGACGCCGGCGTCGTCTGTGCGGCCGAAGGCGTCGATGCCGAGTGTGTCTTCTCAGCGTCATGGGCTTGACCTGTTCCCTCCCGCGCCCTCACCCCCACCCCCACCCCAACCTCTACCGCCATGTGGTGCACGTGACTCTTCTCTGGCTTGGCTCCCGCCGCGGCCGTAAGTCACCCATTGATGGCATAAACAGACAGTGGGTGGAACTGGGGCCTGGTTGTGTATGTGTCTTTGTTCAGCGAGGGCCGGCCTCCTCTGCCAGCGCCCCAACACCGCGGCCCGCCGCCACTCGTCAGCCACCACATGTAAGACCGGCAGGCAGGCAGGAAATGGGCCCCAGTGCCATAATATGATTCATGCTTTGTTATGATGTGCTTGTTAGGTCGTCACCCGGGTCCCTGCCATCGGCTGCGCCACGAAGCCCGGCATCCTACCAGCAGCCCATCTGGCCCACTGGCCCATCACCCTCCTACAGCCAGCTCAGCCAGCTGGAAGAAACGGTTGTCCGCAGCAGCCAGAGGGAGAGGTTGTTAGAGCTGGAGCTGGAACACACCAAGCGCAAGTGAGCCGACCATCCAATGCACAACAACAGACCTATGTTTTGCATGATTCTCCCCGTATCTTTCGATTCAGGCTTGCTGAGAAAGAGGCTGTGCAGCAGCAGCAGCAGCAGCAGGACCAGCATTATCCCTCCCACCACCCCGCGTCATCGAGCAGCTCATCGGCCCCTCCCCCTCCCGCAGATTGCGCTATCTGCATGGACGCGCCGGCGACCATCAAGATCATGCCGTGTCGCGAGATGAAGATATGTCCCCAGTGCTTCGACTTAGAAAAGGCGAGGTGGCAGGCGGAGGTGGCGCGAGTGCGGGCGAAGCGCACGAGGCTCAGGGAGGAGGGGGAGCCCCCTGATCCAAAGCTGGCTGACGACCCAAAGTTCCTGTGCCCGTTTTGTCGCAAAGAGATTGCATTTGCGGGCACGGAGAGGGAGGCAGCCAAGTGGTCTCTCCGCAATGTCACCGACTGACGTGTCATATTGATCACACGGTGCAGCGGATCAGATGCAGGGGAGCTAGGGAGGGAGGGAGAGAGAGGAGAGCGAGGGCTGTTTCAGTGGGGCCTTCAAAGGCCGGGGATGACATGGTGGGGGCGAGAGAAGCGTTTTTCGTCTTGTCGGTTTGCGTCGGTCTTGTGAGGATCTTAGTGTCAGCCAGAGATTTTCGTCTGCTGCATGTGCACACGCGCAGGCATGCATCCCCTGGGTGCACTGCCTTCCGAGCCATGGGTCCATCCATCCATCCTTTCATCCATCCATGGATATATATTAAGATACCTTTATGTGGCTACCTACACACCGCTATACTATCCCTTGTTCATGTTCATGTCCTTGTGTGGGTGCACGAGTGTGTGCGCGTGTGCGTGCGGGTGTGGGTGGGGTCGTGTGCATTTAATAACTGTGGTTGTGGCAAGCAGAAGGCGTGTGAATTTGGTCGCTTAAATGGGACAACGGACACATGGGAAAAACGCTATGGGAGACCCTGGGCCCTGTCCCATTTATCCGACCCTCACAGTACATAGCAATCAGAACCACACATCCGTCCACGATCGCATCTCTCTTCACACATGGCGTATACTACTCGGAGGCCATGCGGTGACTGACCAATTCGACTGCCCCGTGGGTGCCTACACACCGAAGACACATCCGTCCGTGTGGATGGACGGGCTCTTTGCCGATGCAGTCGTGTAGAGCTAGAGCGACCGAGAGAATGAATCGCTCGAAACAGAAATGCACACATACCATACCTCCCTCCCTCTCTACTTAAAACATAGATCAGGCAGATAACTCCTGCATTCGACCACCCAAAGCTGCACTGTCTGTCTGCACAAAGGCAGCCCGGAACACACACGCCATACGTGAGTGCACCCACCATCTCATGCCAGCACAAATAGAAACTTAAAGCAGCACTTCCTTCTCGCACTACACGCACCCATCCACCTACACTCATTCCCCCACTCTCCCTCTCTCTGACGTGACCGGCCGGCCGCCCGCTATGCGGCCACCGCCTTCTGCCGGATGAGTGCGGCTGTGCGAGGGTACCGCTCATCTGGGCGGCTCTTCCAAGCCACAGGGGGCTCTGTTGAGCAGATCTTCATGCCGAAGTCGATGCAAACAAGGAACCTATCAGCCGCCTTGTCCCCACACAGAATGAAGATCCCCGCATGGCGCAGCACATTTGCCTCGTCGACCCAGTAGACCGCTTTGCGGCAGCCGTTCCACTTGCCCCGTGAGTGCAGTATGATGTCTTCCGTGAGCCGGTACTGGGTGGGAGGTGGAGTGATGAGTTCACATGGGTGGGTGAAGTGGGGGCGCAACCGGGGGTCCATCCCGTTGTACGCACCGAGCAGGACGACGATGATATCCGTGAACGAAGAGGCTGCGTACTTGCCACCTGCAGACAGACAGCAGACGCGAAACAAACGATTCACACACTCATTCATCTCTCTCTCCGCCATCCCTCTCATGTGTGTTTGCTCTCCCGGCTGCTCACATTTGGTCGGCGGGTCGGGATCAGTCAAATCGATGCTGACGTACGTCAGCGCATTGGTGTCTGCTGAGCCGCCCAGATAGTCTCGGCCGTTGAGACAGATGACACTCACACGCCGGTTGCTAACGACCGAGAGGCGGTGGCCAAATAGCGAGTACTGACGGACCGCCTGTGGTCGCGAGCTGAACACCGCTCCGGCGCCCGCTTGCTGCAGGTCATATGCCGTGATGACGATGGGCAGAGAGGGAAGGACGTGGCTGCTGTTCTTGAGCAAGTGGATGAGCGACACACATCGGTTCCAACAGCCGCCCTCCTCGATGACGTACAGCACCCGCAGCAGATAGCCCACCCTGCCGTCGACTGGCACTAGCACATGCATCAGCTCACTCCAAATTAGAAGGCATACAATGACCAAGCACACCGGCGACAAGGTGCAGAGCAGCCATCCGATGACCACGTCGATGAGTAGTGCGCGGCCGCTCAGCTGGTCGAGAGATATCTTCTCGCCCAGCTGTACTGAGAACTCCTCGGTCGGGGACCAGAGCCATGCGACGTAGCAGGCGGTGTAGATCAAAGAGATGCCAGCAGCGCCCCCCCACACTCGAGGCATACCTTGGCGATCGACAGTGCCACACGTAGCCCACTCCTGACTCGGTGCTCGATCACGGACCACAGACGGTGGGGTAGGTCGTAGAACGCCACCCAAAACTGTCTGTACGCTCGCACAATGAGGGACGCCTCCCCGAGCAATCGAATGACCACTGTGATCACGGCAAACGGGACCACGCAGACAAAAAGGACAGCAAGCAGCTTGATGCTCCACTGAATTCACGGTAATACACGCAGCGACCGCATCAGAAAGTCAAGGGGCTTCCAGATGACGACGCTGGAACAGGCGACGATGACCATATAAACCATCAAGAGAATGCCCAGACCCACAAACACAACAACAGCTTGAACGAGGGTGGGAGCCACGCTGATGATGGCCGCGATCCACTGCAGCAGGACCAGCAGGACCGTCTCGCACCGCTTCTGGTAGGTCAGCACTCCACTGAGGCCCTTATCGCGGATGGCAGCGTCGAGTCTGTCCGTCAGGTAGGCCCCGCTGACCAGCTGGCAGCCGACGCTCTTGGATGAGGCTCGGAGCTGGCCGCAGTCGTCGGCTGTGAGGGAGGCCAGCAGTTGCCTCTCCACATCCTCAGGCAAGCCCAGTAACCAACACCTGCTGGGGACCGACTGACACACAAACACACACGCACACACACACAGACACACACACAAGGCCCAGGTGACGTACCCAATGGATTCATGTGTGGTCATCACGTTTGGGTGCTCACTCACCGTCGGTGCCGTCACTCCGCTACTCGGCATCAGATCCCGGCAGCTCTAGATCCTGGAGGACAAAGCACAGCCACAGAAGTACATCACGGACAGTGTGCGTGCTGTTTGTGTCGGTGTTCGTCGTGCCGCCATGGGCAACGTGTTGGGCACCGGCATCTGATCTGCCGCGATAGAGGAAGAGCCACAGGACAAATGTCATCGCACTCCGTTGAATGACCACCTTCGAGAGCTGATGAGATCAGCCGCGTGCAGTGGTTGGTCCTATCAACGAAACCGCATGGGGTCCTTCTTTCCTCCCTGCCAATGCGAGCTGCCGATCGCTATGTTCCCGAGAGAAGGAGAGAGAAGCGGACGTTTGTGTGGAAATCTAAGACGGCCAGCGGGCAGGGATGCGGGGGGAAGCGAGAAAACTTCATTCGATTCATCCCTTTCCACTCCTTGAGGTTGCGTCGCTCTCCAGGAGGCAGCCGTCATTTCAGCTGGCACGGTGGCCCACTGGCAGCATGAACTGGCCACATGGACAGGTTGCTCGAGTTCTTCACTTGCCAAGTGTGTGCCAGGAGTGTGAAGCAGAAGAACACAGTCTTTTTTGATCTCTATTGGAGAGTGTGTCTGAGTGTCCAGGTGCAACGATGTGCTTTGACATCCATCCGTAACACGTTCTCACGAGAAACAGACTCCTTCTCAATCAAACAGACCCAAGAATGCCCAGGAAGTGAATGAATGAATGAATCAATGAATGAACGAATGAATCAATAAATCCTTCACTTCTGAGATCTCTTTGCAATGGTGAATGGACGGCGTCTCATTTTCACTACTTACCTCAACGCATAGCAGCAAGAGCGAATGAGTGCCTGTCTCCCGTTAACGTTTAAAGTTTATATCACTGATTCACCACTTGCAGCCATCCATCCATTCAATCACCCAGCCGCCCACCCATCGATATCACTCACTCACTCACTCACTCACTTGGCGTCGGCCGCTGTGAGGAAGCTTAAGTGAGTGTAGGGCATGGAAGCATCGAGATTCCCGTACGGACAAGCAGCTGTACGAGAGCGACAAGACGCTGAGGGGCCACGGCATCCAGAAGAGGCCGGGGCAACTGACGGCCCGTTCACGAGTGAGACAATCCATGCACTGCGCTCCATTCTGTTACATCCTTCTCTTGAGGTTTGCCATGACACCGTGGGGTTTGTTTAATGGGTTCACGACCAAGAAATCTGCACGAAGGAAACAAATCTGCATCCGTTTCCTTTGTGGTGGACCCCAGCAAGCAGAGCAGCCAGTCGCGTGTCTGTAAGTGTTCAAGTGGCTGGCGTGTGGCAATGGGTAACGTGATCGATTGCCAGAGTCTGCGCGGGTGGGTGGACGCGCCCGGTGAGTTGTGGTGAGTGATGAATGATTCTGCCAGCAAAACATAATGCATACAATGGCCAGCAGCACGCAGCATTCAGTAAGTCAACGCATGTACAGGCGTAGAAACCCTAGCCATCAAGCCGTCCATCAAGGCAGCAGGTCGACCATCACCTGCATCTAAGTGGGTGACTACATTACACGATGACATCTGTCCATCTGTCGATCTACCTGCTCGTTACCCGCTCCCGTCCCCTCTGCACCAACTTTTGTCATCCTGTCGCCCCATCCACCGAGCCGCATATCACATGCAGACATACGTCACACACACATCAGGGGCGGACAAGTAAGGAGCAGACAAGTCAGGCACCGACAGCCATCCACCCACACACACACACACACACACCAAAATCCCTGCCTCCGTCACCCCAGCTGCATTAAAACACCCGTTCGCCATTGAATGCAATGCGGCCAGCGGGTCAGTCATCACTGCATCGTTCACGAGACACCTGCCTAGCCTAGGTGGGTGAACACAGGAACACCGACGCCTCACCATCTGCTTGTCTGCCTGCCTGCATTGCATCCACCGCCGTCCACACTGTCGAGCCTCGCTTGCAAAGATAACACAGTGCCGCGCGACAGGGAAGCACTCGAGTGAGTCAGACGGCGACAACCGTCCCATCCACACAAGCTTCACTTATCTGTCTCTGTGAACATCTCATGTCAGCTGCAACGACCTGAACGTCTCCCTGCCGTCCCGCCCCCTCTCGACCCACCCCACCGCCCCCCACTCGACGGAAGCCGCATCCTTGCTGAAGCCGTTGTCAATCTCCCCCGCC